ATTTAAAATTTAAATGGTCGTACAATTCATCATTTTTATCAGTGGACTAGGCCTACTGGGGATACCACTTAAAAAAAACGCGTCAACAATAGTACCTCAAGGGTGACGTGGAAATCTATTTGAAAATCCATTGAATGTATTCGCTTTTAGTGCTCACACGTTGCGTCGTTCTATCTTACAGCGAATTCGATTGGATCCGCATACAGTGCGCACTAATGCACATTAAAATCGCACACAAATTGAAAGTATAAAAATGTATGTTTAATATAAATATAAAAACGGAATTAAACTATGAAATCTGCAATAGATGTTATTGTGCCGTTATGTAAAATCTGTATTTTATAATTCGAAATATTTGCATTTTACTTTTACACGGATTAAATCTGCGTATAACGGCTTTAATGTACACTAATGTGCACTAGTACGTTCCACCGAATTCGCTATTAGTTTTGTATGTAATGAGCGAAAAAAAAGACAGAATAAAGATTACAGCGTGTCAAGCGCCTCGAACGAATGCCCCTTACGTCTGCGAGCGTCTTAGTACATTCCTAAGCGTCGAGCGGCATTTGGATTGCGCGTGGGGCGGTGCGGTGAGGGGGATAGCGGGAGGCGGAGCCGTCTCGAAAATCGGCCGAAATGTGCATTTCGTGCCGAGCCCTGGTCTATGCCATCCCGCGATCGAGCGACGTCGCTCGACCTCAAGCAGCATTCCACCTGCCTGGGGGGCAACCGCACCATCCCGAGCAATAATATCGCGTCTGCGAAGATATGATCTCCTAAGTCGATCCGCCGCCAGGTCAAAACGAACGACTCCCGAAAGGGTAGCCGCCGCGTCATACGAGATGGTGCGGTAGCCTCTAATCACACTGAGGGCGAGCTGCCGCTGCAGCTTACGCACGTACCTCGCAATCCCCCGATCACTCGCAGCCGTCTGCGCCCAAATTAAGGCGCCATACAAAATGACCGTCGCGTACGCACATCTCCGTCGCTCGCCAGGACCGCTAATGTTGGTGGTTATTCTAGCCAGGGACATACCCATGCCCCAGGCTTTGGGCATAAGTACGCGGAAGTGATCCCGGATGGTCCACCGCGAGTCCAGGGTCAAACCTAGGTATTTCACGGTGGACCCAATCGGGACCCCCCCCCCCCCATTTCGAATAACCGCACCCTCCGGGATCTCGTCGGCGGTGAAAGCAACCGCCTCGGTCTTTGAAATTGAGACCCTCAGTCCTAGCCGCTCAATAAATCTCACCAAAAAAGTGGCCCCCACCTCAGCTCTGACGCGCGCCTTCTCGAAGGTCCCGGCACAGGCGACCATGAGCGTATCGTCCGCAAAGCAAAGGACCGAGCATCCTATCGGTAAATGCACTCTCAGGATCAAATTGTATCCTATGTTCCACAGGGTCGGTCCCAAGACCGAACCCTGCGGAACCTCGCACGATATCTGCTTATGTACCAAACAGTCCCTCCGGTCCACATAGGACAGACCTCGATCCGACAAATAATTGCAAAGGATGCACTAGAGGCACCCGGTATGTCCTTTTCTTCCAGAGCGCTCCTAATAACAGACCACGGGAGGGAGTTGAATGCATTCTCAATGTCCAGTGACACAGCGACAGCGACGCCCCCATCCCGTAAGCCCTCACCGACACGTTCCCTAAGGCTCCATACCGCAATTATGGAGCGATGACACCGGAAGCCATATTGTCCTTCCGCGATTCCCTCGAATTCGTCCAAGAAAGCCTGCAGCCTTCGGACTATAACCCTTTCGAATAATTTCCCCGTCTCGTTCAACAGACATATAGGCCTGTACGAGGACGGGGAAAGATCCGGTTTACTAGGTTTTTTAATAAGAACTAACCTCGCCTGCTTTCACTGTCGCGGGAAGTGCCCCCCCCCCCCCCC